CCCCCCTCCCCCACACTCAGGAGTCAGTCTGGAAAGGGCATGGTAAAACAGATTTTCCTCCTGACAGAAAAAGGTAAAAATCTGTAACAAAGTGTATTCAAATCTTTTCATCGTCATCATCATGTTCAGCACTCCCTTGCCCCATCAGATCTGGAGAAATGCCCTTTTACTTTGGTGGTCAATTGGAGATGGGCCTCCTTAGACTGGTAGCCAGTGGGTTACAAGTCCCCCTTACATGGATGATCAGTGGTAATTAGTGCTAGAACTATGCCGGCAACGTAAGGTTGAAGATAGATCTGCCATTGCTCAGAGCTCAAGGAACCACTAGCAACTTCTGGAGGGACCCTACATTTTCACACAACCCTACCTGAGAAAGACTGATGTACACTGTAAGGGGCTGATTTATAAATGTTCCACCCATTGTATAACGGGGCAGATGTCATCCGCATGACACTGGAGCCCAAAGATGGGGCTGAGGAAACCCTAGACTCCTCAGCGCCATCTAGTGATGCTAGTGCCATGCGAATAGCATCTGCCCAGTTGTACATTGGGCGGAACATTTATAAACCGGCCCCCAACCGTACAGTCTGCAAAGTAGCCCGTAATACCCAATCAGATTCCAGATATAACGGAATCCAATGGCTGCAATTGAACTTTTCTGTCCACTCTTACAGGAGGGCTGTTTCCAGTAACAGAATAGACTTCTTCACCAGAATTCTGTATCAGGACACGGGACTTACGTCAAATCGTGGGGGTGAGGTGACCGCTATCCCTTCTTTGATCTTGATAAGGGCGGCGCTCTCCACATGTTGTGTCTTTACCAAAGAATCGTACAACAAGTTCTGTATCTGGGTCATTGCTGCACATCACACCTGAGGAAAAGTGACAGAGAATGTCCCGGTGAGATAGAATATAAGAGGAGAATAAACAGATCATAAGTGTACCCCAATACCCGTGTGTACATGCAGAGTGACACGGTCCATAGCTACAGGGGGTGCGGAGCGTAAACATGATCCTGGACACAGGATGTCAGGGCTGTCTGGGCATAACCGGTTATTTACCAGCTGGGTGTGCACATTATATGACTTACAGAATAAAAAATAATACAGAACCCTCCACGCTGGATTTTGGATTCATTTCCTCTATCTGGTAGTAACACTTCAGTATTATCTGGCACTGCTCTGTGTGGTTTTTGTTTAAAGCAGCAATATTTTTGGAAAATTAAAGAACTCCGGGAATTTAAAGAATGAACCCCCCGCATTGCAAGGGTTACACGCTCCTTATGTCTAGGGGAGTCAGATAAAGCTGTTTTACCTACCCGATGCTCGTCTCCACCGCCCCGCCCCAGGCAAGGCAAAATTGCCTTGCCTGGGGCAGCCCCAAACCAGAATACACCACTGGACCCAGAGCTGACAATGCCAGGAGAGAGGAGGGGACCCGATAGCATACCTCATCCCGTCGGGTGAATGTTCCCTCCTCTCTCTGCCGGCGTCCATCACCAAGATGGCCGCCGGCAGGTGACAATCAGATCGCGTGCGATGACGACACGGCGGGGTGTCACACTGTCTGGAGACACTCCTGCCCTAGACCAACATGAGCACTTAAAGGAGAACTATGGGGTTAAGGCGTTTCCCCAGAGTTCACCTTAGGGTAACGGAAGGACACAAACCTAGCGTCCTCCCGTCACCCTAGGCTCAGTATACCAACCGCAGAGACACCGCAGCTGAAGCGGATCCTGACAATGGTTCCGGGATCCGCCCAGCTGCGTGACTGGGCGGATCTGACAGCTGACTCTGCCTATCTAGAGGCAGAGCCAGCTGTACCCGCCCCCTCCCCCGTCCGTTCCGCCAGTCAGCACTGGCGGATCGGAGCGGGGAATCGAAAAGTGAGCGAACGCCGGTATGTGTTCGCTCACTTCCCGATCTACTGAGCCGACCTGTGACAGTCTCATTGTCACAGGTCGGCTAGAACTATGAGGTGAGTGAAAGGCACTCACCTCATAGTTCTCTTTTAACCCTTCCAGTGGGGAGCAGCCCGCGCTGCAAGGGTCATTTTTAATTCCTGGACTTCTCCTTTAAAATATTACCATTTGTTAATCAGAAATAGAAATCGAAGTTGTAGGAAAGATTAATGATCGCACTCCTATTTCTGGATAACACACGTACTCACATAGTACAAACATTGTGCACCGCAAGGGTTAACAGCTGGTTTTGTTCTAGAGGGGTCAGATAAAGCAGATTTATTTACCCGATCCTCCATCCCCTAGATTGTTCCTGCAGCCTCGTCTCCCCTTGGGCTCTGGTGGTCTAAGCCACGCTGATGTCATCACATCTATGCAAAGCCCATTCACTTGCATTAGAAGTGAAGCCGTTGAGGGTCATACCACTGCAGCAGCGGAGGGGTAGAAAGGTGATCGGCCACTGCCAGTTTGCCGCAGGATTGAGTATCAATCACTGAACTGTATATATATAGAATAGGTGACCGGTAATGTCTCACCTCTCCCCGCTCGGTCTATCATCCAGCACTGATGCAGTGCATCTCACAGATCATAAAATCAGGGCGGGGCTACTGAATTCCACGAGCCTTATTTGCTGTCCGGGTACATTATAACCCCGCCTACATTCAAAGCCACCGCCTGATAGGCTGCTACACGAGACACTCTGTCCGCGCTGGCAACAGTAACAAATGCGTCGCTATGGTTACCCACAGGACTAAAGTAGTTTGGCGGAAGGATATCTTACCAAAAAAAAAAGGTTGAAAGTTATTTTCTGTGTGGAAAACGAGCAAATGAGCGACTTTAGTAACTATTCGATTATTAAATAAAAAATCAAATTCACTCTCCAGCGAACTCGTTATTATAAGAATTGATAATGGCAGGTGGCCGTAGAAACACTTCTCAGTAGACAGGTGCATGAAATGTGATATGAGAGTAGCGCTCTGTATTGTACTTGCGGAAGGATACATTGATTGTTATTTGTGGTCAGGGACTATTTTGTGTATCCTAACACAGAGCTGGCGAGTCTCCGTCCCCTGGAGCTGGGTGAGAGCGAGGATGGGGTCCATAACTGGGATCTCACACTCAATGTATATGATGTTTATTACAATGCTGGGGGGTCAGAAATGTGTATTTAGGGACCTGTCAGCATCGCACCCCATTAAAGGTGTGAGAGAGAACTGTGTTTATAGGAAGAACCTGAACACCTCCAGCCTGAGTGACACCAGCCGAGACCTGTCTGTATCTATAGAAGTGTGGGGTCACTGTGACACCGGCCGGGTCCTCCCTGTATTATAGAAGTGTGGGGTCACTGTGACACCAGCCGGGTCCTGTCTGTAGTATAGAAGTGTGGGGTCACTGTGACACCAGCCGGGTCCTCCGTGTATTATAGAAGTGTGGGGTCACCGTGACACCGGCCGGGTCCTGTCTGTATTATGGAAGTGTGGGGTCACTGTGACACCAGCCGGGTCCTGTCTGTATTATAGAAGTGTGGGGTCACTGCGACACCGGCCGGGTCCTGTCTGTATTTTAGAAGTGTGGGGTCACTGTAACACCGGCCGGGTCCTTCCTGTATTATAGAAGTGTGGGGTCACTGTGACACCGGCCGGGTCCTCCCTGTATTATAGAGGTGTGGGGTCACTGTGACACCGGCCAGGTCCTCCCTGTATTATAGAAGTGTGGGGTCACTGTGACACCAGCCGGGTTCTCCGTGTATTATAAAAGTGTGGGGTCACTGTGACACCGGCCAGGTCCTCCCTGTATTATAGAAGTGTGGGGTCACTGTGACACCAGCCGGGTCCTCCCTGTATTATAGACGTATGGGGACACACTCTCATTCTTGCTTCGTGCAGAGATGATATCGCCCAGGAGTGAGATGACGTCGGCATGCAGAGGGACGCTGAAGGAAGGAGTCATCACAATACAGACCTCACATCTTCCCAAGGACCTGCTGTATGCTCCAGAACATTCTAAGGTCAGCTGACTCCAGTATATCCTGTTTCTTATTTTAGGGGTTTCCAGAAGAATACAAATCTGCAATGTCTGGCATCATTTTCAGTCTGTAGTCTCTCTGGTTCAGTAGGTCAGTCTGTAGTCCTGGTGGTGGTCTCTCTGGTTCAGTAGGTCAGTCTGTAGTCCTGGTGGTGGTCTCTCTGGTTCGGTAGGTCAGTCTGTAGTCCTGGTGGTGGTCTCCCTGGTTCAGTAGGTCAGTCTGTGGTCCTGGGTGTGGTCTCCGGCTCGGTTGGCCAGTCTGTAGTCCTGGTGGTGGTCTCCGGTTCAGTAGGTCAGTCTGTAGTCTTGGTGATGGTCTCCCTGGTTCAGTAGGTCAGTCTGTTGTCCTGGTGGTGGTCTCCGGCTCGGTTGGTCAGTCTGTGGTCCTGGATTTCCTCTCACTTCCTGTTGTCACAAGGACAGGAAGTGAGAGTAAATCTTTCTAATGAGGATACAGACAGCAGTAAAAACCTCAGTGACCCGGAAGAAGAGGTGGGCTCCCCTCGTCTACACGTCTAACAAGAGCCATCTCCCTGTAATGTAGGTACAGTACTAGGATACAGACCCAAAAAGGCGGGCACTCCTCGTCGGCACGAGCGCGGCAATATTACAGCTACCCCTGCTGCACAGTAATAGCCTCCTTTTGTAAGTAGGAGTCGTATGTATGTAACTCGGGGACTGTCTATATATGTAGATAGGAGGGTGAATTCACCTGACTAGACATACATTCTAAGCAGTCTGTGGAACATGAGAAGCTCGGGGACGCTCCGCGATCAGGTGACAATGGTACATCATTGGTCCCCATCATGTAAAATGAGAAAGGTCAGCATTGCTGATCACATGCGCACTCTCTGACAATGAGGTCAAAGAATATTCTAGACTTGTTATTTCTCTACAAGTCTCAGCAGGTCCTGAGGAGCTTTGTATGGACTGTATGTAAAGATATTGTTCTTTGTCATGCCGCCATAAGAAGCTGTAATTGCTCGATATTGTTATGTAGGTATTGTTAGATGCTCGCAGCGCTCACCGATTCCAATGTCTCTTCCAGGTATTATGTTACTCTACGTCCTACCTGCTATCGGCAATGGGCTTGTTGGTAAAAGCTAGCAAGGTCCTGGTATACCTAGTTTAACATATCTTAAAGGAGAACTATGGGGGTCGGTGTTTTCCCCCATCCCTTTCTCCTAAGGGTCACTTTCTCCTTTCTCCCATCCCTTTCTCCTAAGGGTCACGGGAGGACATAAACTAGCGTCCTCCCGTCACCCAAAGCTCAGTATACCGCGAGCTACAACACCTGGAAGCGTCCACACTGAAAATATGGCCTCATCTGGATGGGTGACAGTCACATGGTACCATCTAGACTCGCAGGGGTGGCAAACTCTGGCCCTCCAGCTGTTGTGGAACTGCAAGTCCCTTGAGGCTTTGCAAGATTCTCACAGCCACGGGCACGACTCGCAGAGGCAGATGCATCATGGCATTTGTAGTTTCATCACAGCTGGAGGGCCTGAGTTTGCCACACCTGATCTAGAGGCACAAGTGCCATGTAAACGTTACCGGCTGGGCTGTGCACGAGGCGGAACATTTAGAAATGAAGAGCCCCAAGTGTCAGTAAACATTTCTGTAGAGCTACAACCCTCAGCTGTCCTATAAGGTTCTAGCTGAGGATTGCATTAGGCATACGGGGTTCATTCCAGTCTGTAGCAGATGTTCAGAGGGCAATTAATCCACACTGCTAAGCAAATGCTTCTTACTGCAGGGGGAGGGGGTTGGGGGGGCTTTGTGGGGGGGGTTATATCAAGGATTAATTTTTTGGCAGCAGCCAACCTAACGGGGGCCCCCTCCTATGCTTGCCCCCACTGGAGCTGTATCAGCTGCTATGGAGATTGCTCCTGACACTCATTATACCTGAAGAAGCTGCTTGGATTGGTGGTGAATCATCCCAAACATTACAGAACAAGTCCAGTTGCATGTGACCGGCTGTTACTAATTCATTTTTTTTGCAAGGCTTATTTACTAATGCGGACAGAGTGATAGCTTTCCTATTACAGGGTGAGGAATAGATTATTCTTATACTTTTCTGTATTTATATTATTCTGGACTTCATATTATTTGGCAGGCGGTGACCTTCAGGAAATCATCTCAGAATGATGACAGCTCCTTCCTGCCCAAGAAAATCTTCCCATCACGTCCAGGAACCAGAAGCCTCTCTACCACTTCCCTGCGCAAAGCTGAGGACTGGTTATCATACAAGCCTTATGTCCAGGTAAGCTAAAGTGACGCCGAGAAGACCAGAGCTCTATTCTGACCACTTCACTCTTCTTTTGAGATAAAAGGAAGAGAAATCTATTGACCACTTTACTTCAAACATAAGTCCTCATGGGCACCCAGGGATGTGCAGTGTTATAATTGGGTGTATTCCCCCACCTGGGAGCCAAACCCCCTGTGTAGGGCTGCCCATAGAAATCAATTATAGGATGAGGCTGTATGCGGGTATTCGCTGGTACAGTACTTGCTTAAATGTGTGCATGGGTGCGCAACCCCAAATGCAGACAGTTTGCATTCAGGGTTGTATGTACATGAGGATTCGCGTGTTTCCACAAGTTCCAGTCTATACCCACATGCAGCCATTGATGTCTTCGTGCAGCCATACGCCGCTCCTGTGGCTCCCAGGTGGGGGGAACTACACCCGATTTCTACATTGTATGGCCTCAAGCGCCTAATCTGTCCACCTGCTTTGCCTCTACCAATGTATTTTTGTCCTTTTGTTTTACATCATAGAGAATGCATCAGGAAGAGGTGATAGAAGTCACCATCACAAATACAGAGGATGATTCTCCTAAATGGGCAGCCAGACAGCATAAAACCCGTCAAAGGTTCTCATCGCTCTACTGTAAAGTGACACTAAACTCAGGAGCTAAATCTTAAAAATACATTCAGGTACCCCAACTATTAACAACACTGTATGTTATTTGTGTATCACTCGGCTGTAGAGCCTCAATCATAGACTACAATCTAAATACAAATGAGTAAATTAAACCTGACATTGTAGTCCATCACGGGAGTGATCTTGGAGCGGTGACTACTTTACAACACACACAGGGACCATGGAGAACAAAAGTAGCCCCCCCTCCAGAAGGAAGGACAGTGTCAGCACCAGTTCAGAGATGATTTGAGGACCTACAGCCGAATGATACACAAATAAGAGTCTTTATTATTCTTTCAAAGGCAGCCAATCAAGGAAGTCCAACATAAAATAGCTTGTCTTCAGCATATAACATACTGTATATTGGCTTACCATTCCTCGAGATGTCCCACACACTCACAGTGTCCCAGTCCTTTAACAGTTTTCTCTTGCAGCACTGCTGCTCCGGCCTCAATCCTCAGGGCCACTGTCTGTTTCCTCCAGACAACCTCAATAACGTGCTAACCTGCACAATAGGTTTCACAAACCCGCAGCTCCCTGCTGCACTGGCCTCCACTCTGACTCCTGGGTGGAGTTCTCCTGTCTCCCGGGGGTGGCCCTCAACACATCCCAGCACCCTCTTCATGGTTGTACACAGGTCCACAATTAGGTGCTGGTCGCTAATAAAGCATGGACCCAGGAATGGAGATTTCATCCCACCCAAAATATCATTAATGTCACCAGCACACCAATAGTTAATTCAGCAAAAGTCAATTTAATGACACATTGCCATTCAGTACAAGCGCTTTCGGGGCCTCAAGGGTACCCCTTCATCAGGCTCAGAATGACACAGTCTCAAAACACCATCACCTTTAAATAGACATACAAATGATTGTTAAAAACAGACCCCTCCCACCCAATCTCGTCATTGCACGAGTATCTCCCGCCATTTCATGTTCAAGAAGACTTACATGTGACAGGCTTGTGGGGAAGCAACGTGCTCCACTATCCCGGCCGTTGGCACAAGAGCAACATCAGTCCGTTGTCCAGGAGACCGGACGCTAAGTGGCAAGAAGACCACGCCCCCTCGTCCACCAGCGTGCACGCCTCGTGGAACGCAGGGTGGTTACAGCTTGCGTCTCAGCCGGACATCATTCATAGGTCCCACGTCAATTCGTGCATGCGCAATACATAACATTGGGAACGTAGCCTGCAGCTCAAGTGGCAATAGCGTACACAGTAGTGTCTGTCATTGCTATATGTGGAATCCCAAAGTAAACAGAACCGCAGAATGAACAATAACCACGGCATAATTAGCAGTATTAGCCTAAGTATATATACGTGGAGACAATATTCCGTATTTGTATTGCCACAAGTATTTGCAGAAAAGACATTCAGTATATTGTGTTTAGGGCCGATAATAGCATATAGTCAATACAAAGCCAAACACTCATACACACACATATATGCACAACCCATATATCATATTTGTGGTAGTACATGTATTGTGAATGGACACATTCAGGACATTGCATTTGGGGCTGATGCTAGCATAAATTACCAAAAAAGGTCAAAGGGCATACATAGCGGTAATGCACCTTCATATAATATAAAACCTATATTTATGTTCAGGAGTAGTTCAAGCAATGAACAAGAAACGCACATAGTGCATACTATTTGGGCTCACACGTCATGAGAACCGACACCAATGATATTGATGGCAGAACCCGAACAAAATGGATCCACATAGTACAACAATTATAATGGTAAACAATGGCTATAGCCATTCATTTCATGTCATCCAGACAGCACACCATAAGTCCAAATAATTAGAATAACCCAGGAGCCCAATAGAAGAAACTATGTGTAAAAAAAAAGGGGGGTGGAGAGTTGGGGGAGTACTATTGTTCCGGTAAGGAGTGCACCTGGTTTCCCTTTTCCATTTCATCCCACCCAGAGCTCTAAGAAATCTCCCGGCTCCAGGATCCCAACTAGGATCCAGAAAACACGGAAAGGACTGAAGAGCCGGCTCTTTCCTGATACAAGCAATTGCTTCCTGGAGCCACTCAGCCCCTCTGGCTGAGAATCCTGGGTCACTTTGAAGCCACAGAACACCGTGCTATTGCCTCACAATGCCACAATACTTGAATGTATTTTTACGATTGAACTCCTGAGTTTAAGTGTCACTTCATCAAAAACTATAAAAAATAGTTTTTGCTTAAAATATACTTCATCTGACACGCAAACATGTAAGCGTATTCGCCACACCAGCACAGCGTTGGGTATCTGTAGCAGGTTGGATAAACTTATAGTAGCGTGCAACCCGCTGGAATCCAACCAACTCAGAATTCATCTTTCGTTGTGACTGCTTACATCTGATTGGTTGCTCTGGTTTGCTGCACATGGAACATAATCCTTGTGTTTTTCTGCTGCCATATAGAACAAACCGGCAGGTCTTGTGATTTTCTTCTGTCGCTGCCTCTTTTTCTGAAAACTGACATTTTCTTCCCTCTGTCCCAGCTGATAATGGACGCAGAAAATGAGAAGATCAGTGGCATGACACAGAGTGTGCTGGATGCAGAAAATCAGTATAACCAGGTAAACCATGGGTGGCCGCAGCTTCAGGAAACAGAGATAAACAGAGAGCAAGGCTTTTAAGGCCAGGTCAGAGTGTGTGGTGCATGCTGGGAAATGCTTCCAGTGACAAGAAAATTCTCAGCAGTACTTGTCAGTCATGTCCACAGATGAATGTAAAAGGAGATGGCGAACATTTCATGTGTTGAAGTTGTCAGCTCATCTTTGATGAATCTTTACATTGATTCATTAAAATTGATATTTGGAATTTATGCTTTATAAAGTCTATAAGTTAGCCAAAATTATTAAACTCCACCCCTTTCTGGGAAAAGGACTTCTTGGGTCCCCCCCCTGCCTTGTAACAAACACGCGGAATCATTACAAAAAACAAACGTGTATGAGTGGCCACTTCTCCCCCTTTCAACATAGCTGAGTGTAGCAGATCTGACCCAGGACAAATAGGGCTCAGCTCCCGCAATGTATTTTTATTATTGGTATTTATATAGTGCCGACAATTTTGCACAGCACTTTTTACATTTACATTAGTCCCTGCCCTCAAGGAGCCTACAATCTAAGGTCCCTATCTTACATACATGCATACAAGGGCCAATTAACCTTCCAGCATGTCTTTGGAGTGTGGGAGGAAACCGTATTACCCGGAGGAAACCCCACACAAGGACAGGAAGGACATGCAAACTACTTGCAGATAGTGACCTGGCCGGGATTTGAACCCTCAGTGCTGCAAGGCAGAAGTGCTAACCACTACGCCACTGTGCTGCCCTATGCAACAATGCAACAGCAACTTCCTGTGCTCTGCTGTATTTAGGCTGTTCTGTCCGTCACCTTGATATAGAGAAGGGTGTGGACTCAGACACCATATAGTTACAGGTCTCGGTTCCCGGACTTTCTATTAGGAGGTTAAAAAGTTAATCGGTTACGTTTGGAGATTTAATTAGCTCCTTTTACTGAAATAAGAGTTTTTTTCATATATATTATTTTTTTTATTGTGTCAGTGCGTGGATGAGCATGTGAGACGGGCAGAGAGCGCTGATCTTCGCAGGAAGGAGATGCAGCATAAGAGGTGGACGGAACGCGTGGCCGGACCACTACAGAAAACCATAGAGAACTACATAGATAGCCAGGCCAGCGAGGACATAGAGAGGAGGAGGAGATGGCTTCTAGCACAGTACTTGGAATATTGCAACAAAAAGGTAAAAATGAAGATTGGTAAAACAAAAATCAAACCGGAAATATTATGTAGTTGTCGAGTTTTAATGGCTTGTAATATTCTGATTAATGTTACCAAAAGTAGACCTGTCACATGTGCACGGTGGAGGCAACTATCAAGCTATCCTGGCACCCAAAGAAGATTCCTGAAAGGTTTAGTTGGGGAGTATAACACGTGGAGAATGTGGCATTATTTATTATATTCTTTTGTGTGTTTAACTGTAGTAAGCTGCCCTGTGCTGGTAGCACGCTGGAGACCCGGACCACTGATCTTACACAAGGGGTAGTACTCCAAGTCTTCAAAGGTCCAACAAGCCCCCTCCTTAGTACTCCAATCAACAACACCTCTCTGGGAGTTTGAGCGTTGTTGATTGGAGTACCGAGGAGGTGTGTTAGACTGCTGGAAAAAGGGCCTTTATAAGAATCTTTATTCTTTATGCTTGTTGTTCTCTTTATATGGACCCCATCATTTCACTTGAAAACATTCTCATTAATACCATATTGTGTTTAACAGCAAAATCGCAATACGTGGTGTTTTAGCGTCAGTTTAATTACACTTCAAAGACACATCGAAAGCGGGCCGTACACTGCTCAAATTTCGGCTGAGTTCTGCTAAACCCCTACCCCATTCAACAAAAGTTGAAGTATTTTTTTAAGCGTGCAAGAATAAAAGAGGAAAAGGAATGAAGAAAGAGGAGAAGGGGGATCAAGGAAGAAAGAGGAGAAGGGGAGAAAGAAAGAAAGGAAAAGCAAGGAAGCAAGAGGAAAAAGGGAGAAAGAGGAAAAGGGAAGCAGGGATCAAAGAGGAAATGCAAGGAAGAAAGAGGAGAAAGGAAGTACGGAAGAAAGAAAGAGGAGAAGAGGATCAAGGACGAAAGAGGAAAAGCAAGCAAGAAAGAGGAAAAGGGAAGAAAGCGGAAAAGGGGATCAAGGAAGAAGGGGGTAGCAGGGGATCAAGGAAGAAAGAGGAGAAGGGAAGGAAGAAAGAGGAGAAGGGAAGTAAGCAAGAAAGAGGAAAAGGGGATCAAGGAAGAGGAAAAGCAAGGAAGAAGGGTGGATAAGGGGATTAAGGAAGAAAGAGAAGGGAATCAAGGAAGAAAGATGAAAAGGGAAGTAAGCAAGAAAGAGGAAAAGGGGAGCAAGGAAGAGAGAGGAAAAGGGGAGGAAGAAAGAGGTAAAGCAAGGAAGAAAGAGAAAAAGGGAAGCAGGGATGAAAGAGGAAATGCAAGGAAGAAAGAGGAGAATGGAAGCAAGGAAGACAGGAAAAAGAGAGCAAAGAGGAAGAGTGGGATGGCAAAGATGTCAGAATACAAGAGCCCGGCAGGGGAAATCCTGCGTTGTTTTCCCCCAAAAAACGAATAGTGTATGGCCATCCTAACTCAACTCTCCCATGTTTTCCCACATCACCCCCTTTTTTCCTCTCCCTTCCCCACCTTCTTTTTCTCTATTACCACTACCCCCTATCACAGTGGTGGTGAACCTTGGCACTCCAGCTGTTTTGGAACTACAAGTCCCATGAGGCATTGCAAGGCTCTGACAGCCACAGACATAACTGCCAGAGGCAGATGCATGTTGGGATTTGTAGTTTTAGCACAGCTGAAGTGCCAAGGTTCGCCACCACTGCCCTATCACCTACCCCTCCACAACCTACCCAGTGTCTCACCACCATTATCATTTCCCCATTTTAGACTATTACATAACAGAATGTATTTACATATATAACAGAACTTCCACTGTCAGAGGAAACACTGACCTAAGCATTAACATTTACCAATTCCATTACCATACATTCAAGACACAAACGTAACCTTTTTTGGTAAAAGTACTTTATTGATGTATATTTTCCCAGTTCTAATGGTAAGATATGATGCTGTATGATTTGTTTGTCCTCAGTGCTCCATGTTCATTTCCATCGCCTGAGAGATTGGAAAATGAAAAAAAAAAAGAATTTGACAATAATATATATGTTTTTATGTGATGCGTTTCTAAGCGTTAGACTGTTTCCCATCCTAATTATCCACTCCAGTAATTGTGTATTGGCAGCTGGGTGATATCGGATAGAATAATGCACGTTACGCGGCATTGTTTCCTGGAAGTATGCAGATCTGTTCTGTGAAATGTATCGGCCTCCATGGAGTAGAATGAAGAACAGCTCTGCCAGGACATTAATATGCCTCTAACGTTCCTGTGCTTCTCCTCCAGGGCAACGCATTTATGAGAGATTATGATTCCTCCGAGTACAACCCGTTTATTAATCGCCTCTGCAAGCAGTACCTCCGGGTAAGAGAGAACTAATAGGCCTTATAAATGAGTGTCCCCCGAGAGCAGACTGATAGCAAAGCTTTAATCCTAGACATTCAAAGAGCTTCTAAAGCTGCATGACTAAGACAGCCAATCGCATGTCAGCATTCTGTTATGTCAAAGATTATTTTTAATGGCTGCTATTGATAATAACAATTTTCACATGCAGAGAAACCATGGCGAGCAGGCCATCGGTATATAAATAGCAAAAGGGCCCGGGGGTGGGGATGGGGGGGTAGTTCTGGAATTTAACAGATAGCCAGTCACCAGTTGTCATTTCTAATAATCTAAATCTCCGCTGTTGAATTGTTATCGCGGTGCAACCTAAACTCTCAGAGATTACTTTTGAGTCTTCTTTATTTGTATTCTCTCCCTCTCATAGCAGAAGTGTCAGGCCCCAAAGCAAGCCATAGACGTGGCAACATTTAGTTAATTTTAACCACTTTCCGTCTACTTGGAATTGCCTGTACGACAGGGGTGGGCAACTCCGGCTCTCCAGCCGTTGTGGAACTACAAGTCCAATTGTGCATTGTAAGACTGACAGATACAGGCGTGACTCCCAGAGACAAAGGTATGTTGAGATTTGTAGTTAAAGCACAGCTGGAGGGTCGGAGTTGCCCACCACGGCTACAAATAATCCCCATTTATTATGACGCTGCATTTAATTGGGGCCAATTGGACCCCATATGCTTGCCATCAGCCAACACCAACATTTTATGTCTTTGATTGGCTTGTGTTTTGGACACAAATAGAATAGAAAGTTCGATCAAACTACCAGTGTATACCCAGCTTGGAGAAGAACTCCGGGTAAAGAAAAAAAACCGTACCTTTCACTGGGCTACCCCCGCACTGCAAGGGTTAAGTGCTCATTTTCTCTAAGCCCTCATTCACACTAGAAAAGGCCGGCATGTACAGCTCCGTGCTGTGTGCAGGGCGGTATCGGGCAGCTCCCGGGAAGGACAGGTGCTGCGTGTGATTAGTACGTAGCCCCTGTCCTTCTCTATGGGAGTACGCGGCTGTACGCTGCCCTATGCTCACCTGCCCTGCACGGCCGTGCAGGTGTCCATACTCGTTTGCTGACAAGATGGATCCTGTCTGCGTCTGAGCCGGGACACCCGTACGGACCTGCACTTGGGGTGAGCGTAGGGCGGCATACGGCTGCGTACTCCCATACAGAAGGACAGGGGCTGCGTCCTAATCACACGCAGCACCTGTCCTTCCCGGGAGCTGCCCGATACGGCCGTGCACGCAGCACGGAGCTGTACATACCGGCTTTTTCTAGTGTGAATGAGGGATAAGGGGCTCAAATAAAGCAGATTTACTTACCTGATCCTCAGTACTGCAGCGGTCAGCATTCACCTCTCTCCGGTTACGGAATGTGTGTCTCATCGTTCTGACGTTTACTGCGGGTCAGTGGACCTGCATTGGACTCAATGGCATCCTTAGACAACCAGATCACAGGGAAGAAGAGGCTGCGTGGACCGGCCTAGCAGCACGAAGGGATCGAGGATCAGGTGAGTAATACAGCTTTATTTGCGCCCCATAACAAAAGGAGACGTAACCCTAGCAGTGCGGGGGTAGACCCACTACAAGGGTAAGTTTCTTACTTTGACTTATCTCTTACCTGAGTTCAGTGCTGATAACAGGAAAAAGGTGGTCATAAAACAAATGTGTTGTCAGGTTTACAGGAAAGAATATAATATATTTTGTTATGTGACATGTTTACCCTCCTCCCGCGGCTGGGACGGTGTTCTTTTGTTATCAGCCCTGAACTCAGACAGGAGACAGCTCATCCTCCATGGGTCCTTACAGCCTGATAATTGTGCTCCGACCGGGAGAGAATACAACTAAGTACCAGCATACACCATCCCTGAGAGGTAAAGCAGCACCAGTATACCATTGTAAGAGTGGATAAGCAGATTCTTACAAATGCCAGTCCCTACCCAGTCCTCTAAAGCTAGTTGCCCGTAATCTGAGCTCCGGTGTAGTTGTTTTCTTTCCTTACATTTCCTTATTACAAAAGCTTGATAACTGTTGTTCTGTATATTAGCTTACTTACAGCTGAACACCAGTCACAGAATCAATGTAATATATTCCTCAATAGCAATAAAGGATTTAAATGCATGTACCAAATCCCCATATTATCATGTCAAAGTCATGGCGACATATCCTGTACAGCAGGGGCGCCCACAATGTTTCATCTGGAGATCTACTTTTCAAATGAAGAGCTCAATGAGATCTACCAACGAAAAAACACCTGCATTCAGGGGCCTGGCTGCGGTGCATTGAAGTCAATGGCACCGCAGCCAGGCCCCTCACAAACCCCACACCCCCCTCCCACAGGGAGTCGGCCGGCTTAAATTCCAGTGCGTCCTAGGAGCCCCAGCATCCTGTCCTCATGTGGTGCTCGTGTGGCCGACGTTGCACATGGGGAGAGGTGTCCCGCCCTTTTCCTGCTGCAGCGTCTGACACATTCAGCTGGCAGTCGCACAAGCACCGTGGGAGCATAGCCGTAGCCAGCTCCTTTTGCGCCCGAGGCAAGAAAGAACAACGTGCCCCCAGGCGTGTGAAGTCACCCAGTGCCCTGTTTCCGATTACTGTTGGGGGCGCTTTGGGAAATATTAGGGGTCTAAACAGCCCCCTGATATTTCCCTTTTAAAATAGAAAAAGAAATTGAGGACACAAAGTCCTCAATCTCTTTTTCTGCATCCCCTGTTCTAAATGAATGAAAAGCAGAGAGGCTTCCCATTCATTCAGAAAATATTTTACTATCATCCAGTTTCTGAATGGGGAGGAGCCTCTGTAGTGAGTGCTTCTCCCCATTGAGAAACTCATGAATGAACAGGAAGTTATGTAAATCACAGCCTGTTCATTCATAACTGGGGACACATAGTACTATGTGTCCCCAGTTATTTACAAACACTGGAGCGATCAGCTGATCACTCCAGTGTTTGTCCTGCACAGGCGATCGGAACATATCACTGATTTCATCTGGATCCGCGCTGCTCTCCTGGGCAAAGGCAGCGGCGGATCCGAGGAGAAGTAAAAGAAGCGCTGCAGCCGCGGGGGGCGGAGCCGCTGTCACAGAACTAAGGCCGAGCAGTGAGGGGTAAGAGAGGCGCTGGCTGTCAGAACCTGGCCGAGCGTCTGTCTCCTCTCACCGCTCGGCCTTAGTTCTGTGACAGCGTCTCTGTCCTCCGCTGCGGGCTGCAGCGGTTCCTTCACTTCTCGGATCCCCGCTGCATACAGATGGGGAGAGCAGCGGGGATCCAGAGAAGCACCACGGCGGGAGGAGAGGCCATCGCGATCTACCACTGATCGCTACGCGATTGACTGGTAGATCGCGATCAACCTTATGGGCACCCCTGCTGTACAGAGTGCAGAGCTGTGGGAGGGACCCAGCAGACCCCACTCACTAAAGGCTGCCTGCGGAAAACTACAGGAGGGGGGCGGAGACAAGACCAGTCACCCTGCACAAGAAGAGAGAATGGCACTGACTGGTGTTTATTACAGGAGGGGGGCAGAAACAAGACTAGTCAACCTGCACAATTAGAGAGAGCAGCAGTGATCAGTCTTTATTACAGGAAGCTCCAAATCTCACACTGGATTACTGCACAGATCTGGAAGAAATACACAAAGCTCACCAAGATTCCAGGAAGAATACACGTGACTCTTGTATGAGGACAATATTTGCTAATCCCGGAGTTCAGCTTGAAACAGTTTCTGAAATCTGTAGATATCGGTTATACATTCATTGTAGTGTTACTCTACATTCTATGCACTGGGGCAGTTCCGTAATTAGCAGCTTTTTTCATTCATTGTGTTTTTTCTGTGTTCTGTAGGTTTCAACTCCGGTATTTAAGGATCCGCTCCTGCAGCAGTACCAGAAGAGGTACGAGGAGGAGAAGGTGGCTCTGCACTGTGACACAGGTACCTCTGCTCTGGGCTTTACAGTGCAGACAGCACGGAGCACTAAGACATATTAACCAATCACTGAGCATCTTTCCATAGTATGGGTACCTACAGAAAGCTGATCAGTGATTGGTCGCTGTTTGTACGTAACTGCCTTTCATGTGAAATGTTGATGGTTCTCTGCAGTAGTGCTTGTTAAAGTGACACAAAACTCAGGAGTTATACCTTAAAACTACATCCAAGTACCTTCATTATTAACAGACATGTATCTTATTTGTGTATCACTCGGCTGTAGATCCTCAAATCATCTCTGAATTGGTGCTGACACTGTCCTTCCTTCTGGAGGGGGGCTACTTTTCTTCCCCATGGCCCCTGTGTGTGTTGTAAAGTAGTCACCACTCCAAGCTCACTCCCGGGATGGACTACAATCTCTATACAAATTAGTAAACTAAACATGAGACGTGCCCAATATAAAATAAGATGAAAGTTGTATATATTGGGTGTGACATTAGCCTAACTGTCGTCATAAAGTATAAGTAAAAGGCATTAAGATCTGAATAGAGTGGTGAGAGGTTAGGACCCCTGTCAGGTATATATTACAGTGTGTGTCCACATTGGGGAGATGAATAAATGCCACCAGCACACCACCAGCATTACAGTCCAAAGAGTTTGTTTATTGGAACGTCATGTCACCAAAACTAGCGCTTTCGCGGCCACGCAGGGTCCCCTTCATCAGGCTCAGCCTCATTCAACTTTGGGGTTTTTCCGGTAAGGAGTGCGACAAGGTATCTTTTTGTTTGTCCCATTGGGGAGATTCACTGTCTCTAACGTTACTGATCACCATTGTGACTGGGAATGAAAATGACCGTACATCCAACAGGTTTGAGTCACTAGAACAGGAAAATCTTGCAGCAGGGACACATTTTTCTGTGACAACTAAGTGGGGATTTCCCTTACATTGGAAAGTTTTTCCCTCACTTCCTGTTGGGCATACTGGAAGCAAAGGTAACTTTTTCCAACGGGACACAGCTATCAGAGTCTTGCAATGCCTCATGGGATTTATAGTTCCACAACAGCTGAGGCTGGCTACCCCTGAGGCGTGTTCAGTTCCCTAGCCAAGCGCTGAGTAGCTGTTCTGCAGAGCCTCTAGTTCCCTGCAGCATTTTCCAACTAATATTTGATGTGCTCGTCCAGCAAAATATTACATTTTAGGTTCCCACACTGAATTGATTTTCCTCCATCGGGGTTCAGGCACGTTTCTCCAGCACTTCCAGGTGTGCCCACAGTTAAAATGGCTGCTGGTGCTCTGTCCCCACCGTCTCCATCACACTCAGCGCTCTGCATCCACATTCACTTCCACTGCGAGTGCTAAGTTAGCAGTGCTGAGGGCTGACTTGCAGCACATCGGTCAGCTGCGGTTTGCTAACTCAGCACTCGCAGCGCCTGAGCAACTGAACACGCCTTAGGTGTAGAGGATGAGACAACAGAGCATTGCAGCCAGCGCTATGGTCCTCCTCTCTCCAGCACTGGAATACCCCCTAGAAAAAAACATGCATTAAATTCTTTACCAGCTGTAGGGGACGGGACGGGACTTTGATCATTTTGTGAATCCCCGGTGTTTGGGTTTAAAGGAGAACTGTGGGGTCAGGGCTTTTCCCCATAGTTCTCCTTAGGGTAACGGGAGGACACAAACTAGCGTCCTCCCGTCACCCTAAGCTCAGTATACCGTGAGCTACAGCTCGCGGTATACTGAGACGCTGCAGCTGGAACGGATCCCGACAATGCTGTCTGCATCCACCCAGCTGCGTGAGTGGCAGCTGGCTCTGCCTATCCCCCGTCCGTTCCGCCAGTCAGCGCTGGAGGATCAGAGCGGGGATGGGGGGAATCCCTGCAGGGAGCCATGAGTGACAGTCACGGCTCTCTGCACGGATAGATCGAGACGTGAGCGAGCAACGGTATGTGTTCATTCCTCGATCTATTGAGCCGATCTGTGACAGTCTCATTGTCACAGGTCGCCTCAGATTATGAGGCTGAGTGTGAGGTGAGGCAAAGGGAACTGGTTTTCAAGCATCCAATCACATGCAGAGTGGGTATACACTGGGATTCTCAGTCTCTATGTACACTCCAGTATATCAGGCTGACTAAGTTCTGAAGGAAGAATAAGGATGGCGTTCCTGGACCTGTGTGGCGTCATCTACTCAGATGAGCGGCTGATCTGCTTTGATCTGCTTTACAAGTATTCATCTTCTCCCCAAGGCCGGCTCTATTCAGCCAAAGAGATCAATGAGCTGAACCTGCAGAAGCTTCCACCGGCTCCTCTGGGGCGTCAGACCATGAACGGGATCAATTGGTTGAAGACTCCATTCGGTTACATCGAGAGTGACATCAGGCTAAAGAGCAGGTGAGTGATGTCACAGCTGCTGATACCAGTCCGGCAAGTCACACAGAATATACTGGAGGCAGCCATTGTGTGTCCTGGGACATCAATAAAGCATTTGGCACCACTTGTCCAGTGTTCCTTGTCAATGGAATGGCTGATCACAGCTTTGGATCCATGTACTCCATGCTCATTGTAGTATACATCAGAATTTCTCAACCTTTTTTTTTTTTTTTTAATCTAGAGAGCCGCCCGGGAAGTGGTTAAAATCATTTTTTAAATTAATTTATTTATTTTTTACTGTTGGGGGCGCTTTGGGAAATATTAGGGGTCTAAACAGCCCCCTGATATTTCCCTTTTAAAATAGAAAAAGAAATTGAGGACACAAAGTCCTCAATCTCTTTTTCTGCATCCCCTGTTCTAAATGAATGAAAAGCAGAGAGGCTTCCCATTCATTCAGAAAATATTTTACTATCATCCAGTTTCTGAATGGGGAGGAGCCTCTGTAGTGAGTGCTTCTCCCCATTGAGAAACTCATGAATGAACAGGAAGTTATGTAAATCACAGCCTGTTCATTCATAACTGGGGACACATAGTACTATGTGTCCCCAGTTATTTACAAACACTGGAGCGATCAGCTGATCACTCCAGTGTTTGTCCTGCACAGGCGATCGGAACATATCACTGATTTCATCTGGATCCGCGCTGCTCTCCTGGGCAAAGGCAGCGGCGGATCCGAGGAGAAGTAAAAGAAGCGCTGCAGCCGCGGGGGGCGGAGCCGCTGTCACAGAACTAAGGCCGAGCAGTGAGGGGTAAGAGAGGCGCTGGCTGTCAGAACCTGGCCGAGCGTCTGTCTCCTCTCACCGCTCGGCCTTAGTTCTGTGACAGCGTCTCTGTCCTCCGCTGCGGGCTGCAGCGGTTCCTTCACTTCTCGGATCCCCGCTGCATACAGATGGGGAGAGCAGCGGGGATCCAGAGAAGCACCACGGCGGGAGGAGAGGCCATCGCGATCTACCACTGATCGCTACGCGATTGACTGGTAGATCGCGATCAACCTTATGGGCACCCCTGCTGTACAGAGTGCAGAGCTGTGGGAGGGACCCAGCAGACCCCACTCACTAAAGGCTGCCTGCGGAAAACTACAGGAGGGGGGCGGAGACAAGACCAGTCACCCTGCACAAGAAGAGAGAATGGCACTGACTGGTGTTTATTACAGGAGGGGGGCAGAAACAAGACTAGTCAACCTGCACAATTAGAGAGAGCAGCAGTGATCAGTCTTTATTACAGGAAGCTCCAAATCTCACACTGGATTACTGCACAGATCTGGAAGAAATACACAAAGCTCACCAAGATTCCAGGAAGAATACACGTGACTCTTGTATGAGGACAATATTTGCTAATCCCGGAGTTCAGCTTGAAACAGTTTCTGAAATCTGTAGATATCGGTTATACATTCATTGTAGTGTTACTCTACATTCTATGCACTGGGGCAGTTCCGTAATTAGCAGCTTTTTTCATTCATTGTGTTTTTTCTGTGTTCTGTAGGTTTCAACTCCGGTATTTAAGGATCCGCTCCTGCAGCAGTACCAGAAGAGGTACGAGGAGGAGAAGGTGGCTCTGCACTGTGACACAGGTACCTCTGCTCTGGGCTTTACAGTGCAGACAGCACGGAGCACTAAGACATATTAACCAATCACTGAGCATCTTTCCATAGTATGGGTACCTACAGAAAGCTGATCAGTGATTGGTCGCTGTTTGTACGTAACTGCCTTTCATGTGAAATGTTGATGGTTCTCTGCAGTAGTGCTTGTTAAAGTGACACAAAACTCAGGAGTTATACCTTAAAACTACATCCAAGTACCTTCATTATTAACAGACATGTATCTTATTTGTGTATCACTCGGCTGTAGATCCTCAAATCATCTCTGAATTGGTGCTGACACTGTCCTTCCTTCTGGAGGGGGGCTACTTTTCTTCCCCATGGCCCCTGTGTGTGTTGTAAAGTAGTCACCACTCCAAGCTCACTCCCGGGATGGACTACAATCTCTATACAAATTAGTAAACTAAACATGAGACGTGCCCAATATAAAATAAGATGAAAGTTGTATATATTGGGTGTGACATTAGCCTAACTGTCGTCATAAAGTATAAGTAAAAGGCATTAAGATCTGAATAGAGTGGTGAGAGGTTAGGACCCCTGTCAGGTATATATTACAGTGTGTGTCCACATTGGGGAGATGAATAAATGCCACCAGCACACCACCAGCATTACAGTCCAAAGAGTTTGTTTATTGGAACGTCATGTCACCAAAACTAGCGCTTTCGCGGCCACGCAGGGTCCCCTTCATCAGGCTCAGCCTCATTCAACTTTGGGGTTTTTCCGGTAAGGAGTGCGACAAGGTATCTTTTTGTTTGTCCCATTGGGGAGATTCACTGTCTCTAACGTTACTGATCACCATTGTGACTGGGAATGAAAATGACCGTACATCCAACAGGTTTGAGTCACTAGAACAGGAAAATCTTGCAGCAGGGACACATTTTTCTGTGACAACTAAGTGGGGATTTCCCTTACATTGGAAAGTTTTTCCCTCACTTCCTGTTGGGCATACTGGAAGCAAAGGTAACTTTTTCCAACGGGACACAGCTATCAGAGTCTTGCAATGCCTCATGGGATTTATAGTTCCACAACAGCTGAGGCTGGCTACCCCTGAGGCGTGTTCAGTTCCCTAGCCAAGCGCTGAGTAGCTGTTCTGCAGAGCCTCTAGTTCCCTGCAGCATTTTCCAACTAATATTTGATGTGCTCGTCCAGCAAAATATTACATTTTAGGTTCCCACACTGAATTGATTTTCCTCCATCGGGGTTCAGGCACGTTTCTCCAGCACTTCCAGGTGTGCCCACAGTTAAAATGGCTGCTGGTGCTCTGTCCCCACCGTCTCCATCACACTCAGCGCTCTGCATCCACATTCACTTCCACTGCGAGTGCTAAGTTAGCAGTGCTGAGGGCTGACTTGCAGCACATCGGTCAGCTGCGGTTTGCTAACTCAGCACTCGCAGCGCCTGAGCAACTGAACACGCCTTAGGTGTAGAGGATGAGACAACAGAGCATTGCAGCCAGCGCTATGGTCCTCCTCTCTCCAGCACTGGAATACCCCCTAGAAAAAAACATGCATTAAATTCTTTACCAGCTGTAGGGGACGGGACGGGACTTTGATCATTTTGTGAATCCCCGGTGTTTGGGTTTAAAGGAGAACTGTGGGGTCAGGGCTTTTCCCCATAGTTCTCCTTAGGGTAACGGGAGGACACAAACTAGCGTCCTCCCGTCACCCTAAGCTCAGTATACCGTGAGCTACAGCTCGCGGTATACTGAGACGCTGCAGCTGGAACGGATCCCGACAATGCTGTCTGCATCCACCCAGCTGCGTGAGTGGCAGCTGGCTCTGCCTATCCCCCGTCCGTTCCGCCAGTCAGCGCTGGAGGATCAGAGCGGGGATGGGGGGAATCCCTGCAGGGAGCCATGAGTGACAGTCACGGCTCTCTGCACGGATAGATCGAGACGTGAGCGAGCAACGGTATGTGTTCATTCCTCGATCTATTGAGCCGATCTGTGACAGTCTCATTGTCACAGGTCGCCTCAGATTATGAGGCTGAGTGTGAGGTGAGGCAAAGGGAACTGGTTTTCAAGCATCCAATCACATGCAGAGTGGGTATACACTGGGATTCTCAGTCTCTATGTACACTCCAGTATATCAGGCTGACTAAGTTCTGAAGGAAGAATAAGGATGGCGTTCCTGGACCTGTGTGGCGTCATCTACTCAGATGAGCGGCTGATCTGCTTTGATCTGCTTTACAAGTATTCATCTTCTCCCCAAGGCCGGCTCTATTCAGCCAAAGAGATCAATGAGCTGAACCTGCAGAAGCTTCCACCGGCTCCTCTGGGGCGTCAGACCATGAACGGGATCAATTGGTTGAAGACTCCATTCGGTTACATCGAGAGTGACATCAGGCTAAAGAGCAGGTGAGTGATGTCACAGCTGCTGATACCAGTCCGGCAAGTCACACAGAATATACTGGAGGCAGCCATTGTGTGTCCTGGGACATCAATAAAGCATTTGGCACCACTTGTCCAGTGTTCCTTGTCAATGGAATGGCTGATCACAGCTTTGGATCCATGTACTCCATGCTCATTGTAGTATACATCAGAATTTCTCAACCTTTTTTTTTTTTTTTTTAGTCATGACACCCATTAAAAGTCTGAATAATCATAAAGCAACCCAGTCTAACATGTACATGTAGTGGATTTTAAGGGCAGACCCCACATAAAAAACACACAAAATGGGGTTCCTCCCTTCACATTGAAGTTTCCCCTTCAAATCAGAGCCCCCCTTTAACACCAGCGTCCCTACTTAACATTAGAGTCCTCCTTTACATCAATAGCCTCCCTTTACATTATTAGGCCCCTCCTTTCATATCAGAGCCCCCCTTCACATTACAAGCCCCAATTCATACCAGGAGCCCCTCCTTTCACATCAGAGCCCCTCCTTTCACATCAGGAACCCCTCCTTTCACATCAGGAACCCCCTTAACATTAGAGTCTCTCCTTTCACATCAGGAACCCCTTAACATCAGAGCCCCTCCTTTCACATCAGGAACCCCCTTAACATCAGAGCCCCTCCTTTCACATCAGGAACCCCCTTAACATCAGAGTCCCTCCTTTCACATCAGGAACCCCCTTAACATCAGAGTCCCCATTTATATTAGAACTTACCCTTCACATCAGAGTCTTACCATCACAACATTTCAAGGCACCCCTGTGGAAGTCAGAAGGCACCCCGGTGTGCCACAGAACCATGTTTGAGAAAGACTGGTACAGATCACAGGTAGGCTAACTCCGGCCCTAAACCTCTGGTGAAACCACAAATCCCATCATGCATCTGCCTCTGGGAGTCATGCCTGTGGCTGTCAGAGACTTGCAGAGCCTAATGGGATTTGTTGCAGGACATCTGGAGGAGCAACGTTTGCCTACCCCGGTATAGATATTGTACAAGAGTCATGCTCTGCCCTGACCAGGAGTGTCCATGAAAATAAACACTGAAATAGACATATATTAGGGATGCACCGGTGCCAATACCGAGTATTTGGGCGAGTACTGTTACTCGGCCAAATGCTCCGTTACTTACCTCAGACACCAGAACTTCTGGTCAGAGGGAGCATGGAGCCGGCTTCCTTTCCGATCAGGAAGCCGGGCGGCAGGTCATGATCCGGCCCCCCAGGCTTCCTGATAATCGGGGAACACAGCACCGGTATCAGCGAGTACCGAAAAAAGAATATCAGTACTCATACTCAATATTAAAAAAAACTGGTATCGGTACAGTGTGTGTGTGTGCGCGCAGTATCTCACAGAAGTGAGTACACCCCTCACATTTTTGTAAATATTTTATTATTTAATTTCATGTGACGACACAAAAGAAATGACACTTTGAA